CTGACACTATAGACAGCTCAGTTACTAAATATCACAACAATTAATGGCTTTGACACTCTAGACAGCTCAGTTACTAAATATCACAACAATTAACGGCTTTGACACTCCAGACAGCTCAGTTACTAAATATCACAACAATTACCAGCTTTGACACTCTAGACAGCTCAGTTACTAAATATCACAACAATTAATGGCTTTGACACTCTAGACAGCTCAGTTACTAAATATCACAACAATTACCAGCTCTGACACTATAGACAGCTCAGTTACTAAATATCACAACAATTAATGGCTTTGACACTCTAGACAGCTCAGTTACTAAATATCACAACAATTACCAGCTTTGACACTATAGACAGCTCAGTTACTAAATATCACAACAATTAATGGCTTTGACACTCTAGACAGCTCAGTTACTAAATATCACAACAATTACCAGCTTTGACACTATAGACATAGATCAGTTACTAGTCTTGATAGACTCATGACATTAGTCTCGTATCAGTTATAAAGAAATCACAACAGTCACTAGTCTTGATACACTCATGACATTAGCTATGAATCAGTTATAAAGAAATCACAACAGTCACTAGTCTTGATACACTCATGACATTAGTCTCAGATCAGTTATAAAGAAATCACAACAGTCACTAGTCTTAATACTGTTGTAATTTCTTTATAACTGATTCATAGCTAATGTCATAAGTGTGTCAAGACTAGTAACTGTTGTGATTTCTTTATAACTGATCCGAGACTAATGTCATGAGTGTGTCAAGACTAGTGACTATTGTGATTTCTTTATAACTGATCCAAGACTAATGTCATAAGTCTATCAAGACTAGTAACTGTTGTGATTTCTTTATAACTGATTCATAGCTAATGTCATGAGTGTGTCAAGACTAGTGACTGTTGTGATTTCTTTATAACTGATCCGACACTAATGTCATGAGTGTTACTAGTCTTGATAGACTCATGACATTAGCTATGAATCAGTTATAAAGAAATCACAACAGTCACTAGTCTTGATACACTCATGACATTAGTCATGGATCCATTATAAAGAAATCACAATAATTACTAGTCTTGATACAAAACATTAGTTACAGATCACTGGAAAAGTCTGTTTTTTCTTTCTCTATTGAACATGTTTATATTGTAGTGTGACTATATTGCCTTCATTTCTCAAACAAACCACAGTTACAACTTTGATACACCCATAGCAATATTAGTCATAAAACTTAATAAACTCCAACAATTACTGACTTTGACACTTATGTTTTTACACTATAACTTACAAATCAATTAAAAAAGAAATTAAAATCATTAGATCAGACATATATATTTTACATAACTATGTAAAATCACTTTAAAATTAAATCATAATAATTATCAACAATAATACACAGATTTGGCACTCATTTTCATACACTACATATCCAAAAAATAACAAACACTTCAAAATATTAGCTATACATCAGATGTGAATAATAATATAATTATTAGCTCTACCACATACATTTTACACTATTACTCATACCCAAAAAATAAGTTACCAACCCTGACAAACATTTCACAGTATTAGCTATACATCAGATGCAAATAAATAGCATAATTATTAGCTCTGACGTTCACACATTTTACTTAATTAGTCTCTGACCACAGAATAAAGCATTATGAATAACTACTATACATGTTAACTATCTACACATGCATATCATTTTGTTAACATGATAAGCTTATTTTTGTGTCAAAAAATTTACTTTTTATAAGGATGGAAATTGGACATCAATATACAATAGTTATATATAGTTTCACCAAAATGAATCCCATGACACGTCTCACTCTTATAACTTAATAGAATGATCCACAATATATAAATCAAAGACAGGGGATTTAATGCACTTGTAATGAGCTTGCTAGAAAAACAAACAAAACATTTGGTTGTAACATATCTAGAATGTAAAATGTATTTATGTTTCTAAAGACTACATATAATGAAACAATAGTTATAATCAAGTTTAAGAATTATACTAGATAATTCCCTGCTTCTTCTAGTTTATTTCATGTCTAATAATCAGCATCTACACAAGCAAATACATGGTAGACAAAAATAAATACCACACTAATGTCTTTAAAAAACACTTTAAAATACAATTAAACATTTGTTTTTGAAACTTTACTCGACTGGAAAGGTTTGTTTTGTTTTGAATTTTGTGCAAAGCTACACAAGGGCTATCTACACTAGCTGTCCCTAATTTAGCAGCGAAAGACTAGAGGGAAGGCAGTTAGTCATCAATAGTGAGATTGACTGTCACACTATAATGCTACTACGGTTAAAAGGTTGAGCATGTTTGATGGGACAGGGATTTGAACCCGCAACCCACAAATTGCGAGTCGAGCACCCTAATCACCTGGCTACGCCAGGCCCCTACTGGAAAGGAAATCAATGTTTAAAACATGTGTACACTATCACTATTTAATCAAAGCTTAAAACATGTATGTTATTTCATTACTGTTTCTAACACATTTACATTATTGTTCAACAAACTGGTATACCATTTCATCAGTGTTTGGAAAACTCTAATGTTACCTTTAAATACTTGTTTTTTTTGTAATATTCTAAGGCTACACCCAATGATATTTTGGCAAATTCAATGAATCACTATCAATCATTCTTTTTGGAAAGTGCTAAGACTATCTTTAACTATTTATTTTGCAAAGTTCTAATGTTTCCTCCAACTTCTCTCTTTTTTTTTTTAAAACTCCATGGTTACAATCAACTACTTTTTTTTTCATAAACTTCTAAGGTTACCTTCCACAATTCTTTTTGTAAAATTCTAAGGTTCTAATCAACTACTCTCATGGTAAAATTCTATGGTGACCTCTAACCATTCTTTCTGTAACATTATATAAGATTACTCTTACCTCCAACCACCCTTTCAACAGCATACTCGAGGTTTTCTGCACTTACAATCTTCTGCTTATTACGAGCTGCATGAAGTGCTGCCTCATTACACACATTGGCAATGTCAGCACCTGAAGTAGTTTATCAATAACAACTGTTATTTATTTTGTTGTATATTATACTGTGTACAGTATCTCGTTGTCTTCAATCAATAGTTTAAAATGTTGTTAATTTCATGAATAAAACTACTTTTGGCCACCATACAGTTTGCATATTGCACTGGCATAACCTCCAGAACCTCTGAAATGCACAGTTATAGTTTTTTTCAATATCCCTGTATAATGTTTCTGGTAGTCACTCTCATGTACCACAGATTATTGTTAAATCATTAATGCAGGGTAAAATAAATAGTTGATAATTTAACATCAAATACACAATACAATGGGAAATGGTATTCGGTTAAAGGTGCTAGCATGCACCCTTTCACCTCCACCTGGGTACATAGGGTTAAAATATAATAGAATGTTCAATCCCCTCTCTATACATATGTATTATGATGCCCTTGTTATTTACAGAGGAATGTTGATTTTACCATGAGATGTTATAACCTGTTACAAAGGTGCAATAATTTTCTTATAGTACCAAGCACAGTGCAATACAAACAACAAGAGTTAATTAGTACTCACCACTAAAGTCAGGTGTTAATGATTGAATACAAAGGTGCAATAATTTTCTTATAGTACCAAGCACAGTGCAACACAAACAACAAGAGTTAATTAGTACTCACCACTAAAGTTAGGTGTTAATGATTGAATACAAAGGTGCAATAATTTTCTTATAGTACCAAGCACAGTGCAACACAAACAACAAGAGTTAATTAGTACTCACCACTAAAGTCAGGTGTTAATAAATCAATACAAAGGTGCAATAATTTTCTTATAGTACCAAGCACAGTGCAACACAAATAACAAGAGTTAATTAGTACTCACCACTAAAGTCAGGTGTTAATGATTGAATACAAAGGTGCAATAATTTTCTTATAGTACCAAGCACAGTGCAACACAAACAACAAGAGTTAATTAGTACTCACCACTAAAGTCAGGTGTTAATGATTGAATACAAAGGTGCAATAATTTTCTTATAGTACCAAGCACAGTGCAATACAAATAACAAGAGTTAATTAGTACTCACCACTAAAGTCAGGTGTTAATGATTGAATACAAAGGTGCAATAATTTTCTTATAGTACCAAGCACAGTGCAATACAAATAACAAGAGTTAATTAGTACTCACCACTAAAGTCAGGTGTTAATAAATCAATACAAAGGTGCAATAATTTTCTTATAGTACCAAGCACAGTGCAACACACAAATAACGAGAGTTAATTAGTACTCACCACTAAAGTCAGGTGTTAATAAATGAATACAAAGGTGCAATAATTTTCTTATAGTACGAAGCACAGTGCAACACAAATAACAAGAGTTAATTAGTACTCACCACTAAAGCCAGGTGTTAATTGGCTTAAACGTAGAGAATATGTTGAAGGGGAAAGCTCAAGATTAATACATTTAAGATGCTGCTCAAAAATTTCCTTCCGCTCTTGTAATGTAGGCAAATCAATTAGAATGTGGCGGTCAAATCGTCCAGGTCGTAATAAGGCCTTTAGAAATTTAAAACAACAAGGTACTAGTTCAGTCAAATAATAAGAAAATAAACTTCATGATAAGAAGTTACTAAATTCAAAATTTTTTTAATTTTCAAAACAAGATATATGAAATTAGCTTTTACCCACTTTTAATATAAAAAGTACATTTTCTATAATAGTTTTGCTCGTTAAATGAACATATTAACTATTCAAGAAAGCATAAAAACCATACATCTCTTATCATATAATAAAAATATTAAAAGTAAATTAGCTCTTTCACTCAAAAATAAAATGTAAACTTTTGTCTGTAGCATTCAGTTTACGTGACACTGAGAAACATTTACGATACATCTAACAACAGAAATAAATGTAAACTTTTGTTTGTAGCATTCAGTTTACGTGACACTGAGAAACATTTACGATACATCTAACAACAGAAATAAATGCAAACTTCTGTCTGTAGCATTCAGTTTATGTGACACTGAGAAACATTTACGATACATCTAACAACAGAAATAAATGTAAACTTTTGTTTGTAGCATTCAGTTTACGTGACACTGAGAAACATTTACGATACATCTAACAACAGAAATAAATGCAAACTTTAAGTTGTGACAAGGGCTGTGTTCATTAACTGTGTTGTGGTTCAAAATCTAAATAAGTGAATTAAAACTTTACTAAATGTTATTTTTAAAATCAATAATCCATTAAAAAGAGCATTAGCAAATTGTTAAAGATTTAAACTTAGAAGTTGTTTAATATCTGACATACAGAGTACAATATTTATAATTACAACATTTCACTATCATCAGATACAACAACTAGGTTAAAGATTTGTTGAGTAACAATTATTATTTTGGTCAACTTATTTTCTGAACACATTGAGCACATTCTGCTCTGAATGTTTAAACTTTCAAGTGATGTGTTAGATTTTACTGACTTTGCCACGTTATGTTTATTTTGTTTCAGGTTTAATCCTCTTCTCTCTAGTTTAACACAAGAGATTAGGAAGAGATTTTCTGAAACTTGTGAAAAAAGATTTCAGTACTGAAGAAAAACTAGTAACATAGTAAAATTAAAAGATTTTATATTTTCGTTATTTTTCGAAGAATTCTAAAGATGTAATTGGCCATACAAAAGCGTATCTGCATGATTAACATTAAAAACCATGATTGGTTGCAGATGTTTTCCCACATTTCAGATGTATCTTGTTTGTCACAAGTCACTGCCCAGGAGGTCTTTTGTTTAATATCAGAATATAATAGATGGGCTGGATTACGACAGCCAAAAGTCTAATTCATTATGAATTTCAAATCTCAGAGATCTGTTGAACACCAAAACAACAGATTACTTAGTTGATCTATATAGTACATCATGAATCCCCTCCTTTTTTCAAGTAAAAATATTCTACTTCTTATACCACTTCTCAAATTTTTAAAACATAATAACTAATAGAGTTAATAATCTACAATCTACTGAAGTCACACATGCAGAATTAGTTATAATCCTTTACAAACAAATCTACAATGATGCATTCAAGAACCTTTGAAAGTTTGTTTCCTCAATACAAATAGTAATAAAAAACTGCTAATATTCAATAAAAGTACAGCCCATCAAAAAAAAAACAACCAAATCTCACAACCTACTCTAACTTTTGTTAAATCAACCATATATAAGTGAAGAAGTCACACTTTCAATTTTTCTTAGTAGTCTAGTGCCTTCTAAGTTTTAATGTTTTCGTAATTTATACTTTAAAGTACAGTACTTAAGATAAAAACTTCCTCGCTTACCTTATCTAATACATTTGCTCGATTAGTAGAAGCTAACATTATCACTCCTTCCTTTGTTGCCATACCTATCAAACATACATCACAAATTAACCTTGATAAATTAGTTTTTATTTATTATAACAGTAAAAATATAACATTCTAAAAAAAGAGACAACAGTGGACAACATTCTTATGAAAAAACATTACAGGTACACATTTAATAAAAATTAATAATGGTTTAAAATTCCCTAAATAATATATACAAAAGAGTTTTCTTCAATTCTAACTTTTTTTTTAATCAAGAAATACAAGTTAAAAGGATGTTATAAGAAACCTCCTTTAACATTAAATATGAAAGTGGTTGTGTCCAAGAAACCTCCTTTAACATAAATATGAAAGTGGTTGTGTCCAAGAAACCTCCTTTAACATTAAATATGAAAGTGGTTGTGTCCAAGAAACCTCCTTTAACAATAAATGTAAAAGTATTATTAAAAAGAAAGTGGTTGCGAATAGTTTTCATCATTATAATTTGATTCTTCACAGTAGACAGCGTGCAGAAAGCTTCATGTGTAGCTTCGTGCTAAAAATAACATCTCTTCATCGTTATAACAAGTAGTAATCTTTCTGTAAAAGCTATTATCAGTTCTAGATTTAACTCCTTCAAATTTGAATGAATCCTAAGGACATAATTCTAAGCTGGATAAAACAAAGTTGCAAAAAGTCATTCTTCACACATGATTTCTAAAAAAAGAAGGACGTTATCGTTACTTTACTGCTTATCACTATAGTACATTTTTCACAAGTTTCTGAAATATTGTATATCAAAAGCAACTTCTGTAGATGGGATGGGCGACAGGACAAATAGGAATTATTTGGGTAGACAATAGTCTAGGAGGTGTGTGATAATCCAACAGAAAATCCGTAAGTTACCTTTAGAGTGTGGTTCAGAACTGTTAAACAAAGAATAAATTAAACATGGACAGCAAAAGAAAACAAATGAAGAAACAAACAAAATCATTATTCACATATTAAAAAATTTCTGACCAGCTTTTAATCTGTGGGACCATTGTCTAATTACTGGGACAAGGGCAAGAAAACCAATAAGATAAAAAAAAAAAGAGACATAATCAAGAGAAACAAGAGACAGAAATATCGAAACCACCCACTTTTATACACAGAACTTAGTAAGGTAGCCCACAAGTCTATGGGTTATATGCTTCAACCAATGGTTTACATACAATTCTAAGCCAACTGTACATGTTTCTGTATTACTGTTTAAACAGGCTACTTTCCTTGAAGTCCATAAAGAAGCAAGTACACGCTGGCTTGAAACTTAAGAACAAAGGCTGACATATGCAGCCTTTACCTATATAAAATAATTAGCACTTGTTCATGACCTTGTGTCACTCAGTACACATAGGATGGATAAACTACATTTAGATGTGAAAATACTTAAATACATATATTCTATACCAGTTATAAAACTGTGTGATTAGTAGCTGTTACAGCTACGACAGGCGAACTGGACATCAAGGTTGGTATAAAGTAGATCTCATGCATTGTGTCATAAGGTGCAAGAAGAAATCTAATGATTCCCTGTGTTAAACTCCCATCATGTTACTTTCATATGTTGTAATAAATTGTAGTGTGTGATGGTGAGAGTATATGAATCCAAAACATGCAACTTTGAATCAAGTACTTTCAACTGTATATTTTCTTGGTTTTGGAAAAATCACAACAATACTGTAATAACATCTAAAGACTTTGTTCTTTAAAATATGAATATAGCATATGTTATCTTTAACCCTCTCACCCTGGGTAACCTTCACTGCACATGACATAAGGTTTTAGTGTCTCACATTCAAAATTTTATTAAACTACTTTTTTGTTTATGAAGAGCATAAAATCTTAGCTAATAATCCATACTTTAATAGCATACAAGTTTTAAGTTTTTAATTCTACAAGGTAATATTTAAAAAAATCCTGAATTTCCACTAGTGTGACCCACGTAACGCATTTTGTCTTAGCATGTCATCATCTCTATTTTATCCATCACCCTTCGAAAATGGACAAAATTAAAATACTCTCTATAAAATCATTATTGCTTAAACAAACCTTAATTTTTATAGCCTTCAATTTTGTTTGGTTACAGAGCTATCAAATAGAAAAATCAGACCCACTCCAGCCACACCCACTGGTCACATCCTCACTTTCACAATTCGTTGATAGTTCTCTCTTACGTTTCATTATATATTATCTATAACCAATAGAAAGCCAAGGTTTTCATCTATCAACTGACGTATTGTATAATATTGTATTCTGAACAGAATATCATCAATTTAACTCACAGTTCCTGTGGGAAAGTTAACGAC